TAGTTCCCTGGTTCTCTTTCTAGATACTACCTCAACTAAGGGGCAAGTCATCCACAGAAAATATTAGCCCCTGTTTCAAGTGAAAAGACATAGATACATAGTTATTAATAAGTTTAGGAGATCCTTATTAGCCAAGTCATTGTGATTTTAGGAAGTGCTGAATCCCAGTGCACATGTCTTGCTGGAGTGTACTGGAGAGATTGTCTTTTAGTTCCTGTTGGTTTCTAACAACAGTATCATGAAGTTTCTTTTCATCTGTCAGTAGTGTGCTTGTCAAATATGCCTGGCTCTGAATGTCTTGCCCCTTTCTGAAGCTGCAGTGTGAAAATTGAGCATGTGAGCTTCACTGCTAGATGTCAGGTTTTTGTGTCAGCAGCAGAGGTGGCTGAGCTGCAGCAAACACCGCAGCACTGCTGTTGAGTCTCAATAACTCCATGTGCAGGTGTGTGATAACTAGCAATTAATGCATATGCACTAGCTCGTCTAGAAAGTCTCATCTGAAAAAAGAATTTGAGTGGATTTACCTTAGAATAAATGCCACTTGGATGAAAACTCAGCTGCCATATTGCTAGCTTAAAGCCAGCAAAGTTTTAGTCTTCAGTCATGCAAAATGATCAGTTCCATGTTCTCAGTTGAGTCTGGCTACATCTCATGCCAAGCATATTCTTTACCCCAAACTTCAGTTGATCAAGGATGTCTCCTGACTGAAATCAATTATACAAGATGCATAATTAATTATACAATGAACATGAACTCCTCATAGGCCAAGATTCATAACAATTAGGAGCTCAGCCTTTTAATAGTGTTTCCAATACTGGTTGTCTCCTGTTTCTTTAGTTGTGGCAGTAGTAACTATGGCAGTATTTTCCCTGGAGGTGTGTATGTGTGAGAAGGCAAAAACTGGAATAGGAGTTTGAAATCTGAGTTCAGACTGTATGTAATTATGGGGGTTAGGAACGTAAAGGGCGTGGTAAGATCACTTGTGTAAAACTGAGAGAGTAGAAGTGCAGTTGATTCATGTGGCTGACATATGCCACTGACCTATGTGGATGGAAAAGTGGGCTTGTGTGGTGCTTAGGCATTTGCCTTTTCATTAGGTGGGCTGGAATTGTGCATGAGCGGGCCTGGCCCAGCGTAGACTTTTTAAATGGAATATAGTAGTTGCCACTTAAAACTCACAGAAAAATGAGATTTCTAGACTTTGTCTGCATTGAGAGACATGGAGTTGTTTTCATCTCAAATTTTGTAGATAACTCTGCTGTCCTCAAGGCTCTTGATGGTCTTCCTTGGAGATCCTTTTCTGAGTGCCTGTTCAAGTCTCCCTCTCCTGCTGTCTGCCTCCCCCTGAAATTTGCTCCTCTGCCTCTGTTCCTGTCTCAGGTTCCCATTTGCCTGGGATGGTGTTTGTTGACATGAAACGTAGGGAAGCAGAGCTGTGGAGATTGCAGAATGAGGAAGGCTGCACAAGGCGCAAGACACAGAACAGCCCAGTCAGGGAAATGGATGTTTGCCTCTTCCCTCAACATGCCTACGGACTCGGGCTGGTGCTGTGGTCTGGTCCCGGGGCTCAGCTCTGGGCTTGCATCCTCTGTTCCCTGGCGAAGACCTGGGATCAAGGGAGTCCCAGGGAATGTTAGCACTGGCCTGGGGCTTTGAAAGGTCTGAGCTGGCAGCACAGGGAATGGCTGGAGTGCAGGGAGCAAGGCTTTGGTGTGGAGCCTGGCTGCTGAGTCCTGAGCCATCCTGTTTCCACCTGGCTGTGCTGCCCTTTTGCTTAGTCTGCATCACCTACGTGACTTGATGGTGCAGGTAATGCAAGTACAGAAGGACCTAGGTGGAACAGGTCAGGTGAACTGAGGAACAAAAGTTGGGCTTTTTTTGTTTTGGAAGCACTCCTACAATTTACACCCCTGGCTGCTCTCTTAAGGGGAAAGCAGCAGGGAACTTAGCAATGTAAGATGATGCCTTTTTCTTGGAGTTGCAGGCTCCACTTCTCACATGCTTTTAGTTGTAGCACTCCCTTCTGCGCTCTCCTCATTCCCTGTGAGCCTTGTGAGCTAAAATGGGGCTCAGGCCATTGTGGAGATGCAGGGGAAAGTATTGCAAAACAGGTACATGGAGAAGCAAGGCTCATCAAGCTGTTGCTTGGTATAGCAGTATGAAAAAGTTTGTGATTTGCCAGAAGCAGTCCCCTGTCTGACAGGCATTTGGGGCGTAAGAGCTGGCAAATGAATAAATCTCATGCTAGTCTAATGTTTTGATGTCTTTAGAAGAAAGCACAGTTTTGGAGGGGAATAACTGAACCAAGTGAAACTAGGATGGTTGATGTGTTTTACTGTCTAACAGCCCGCTCATCCCATCTAATCTTGTAAGAGGCTTGTGTGCTGTGTGGATTGCTCAGGAGGGAGTAATCAGTTAAATGTCCCTCCCTTGCAAGAAGACATTGCAATGATGTGCTTTGCTGGCATTAACAGACCTTCAGCTCCACAGACTTCACTATTTTCCTTCCATGTGGGTTTGTGGGTGTAAATGAGAGATGTACAGCTTTGTTTCTGTTCTTTGGGCTTCCTGGATGACTGTACCTGTACAGCATATTTACTGTAAAAATAGCAAAGGAAAGACAGGAAGTAGAAAATTATGTAATATAAATTGGAGGCCTTCCATTGGAGGCCATGTCTCAGGGAGGCTGCACAGGTACCATACATCTCCCACAGAATAGGTCCCGAGTCTATTTTTGTTTGATGCACTGTTGTGATTGTGGAAACTTAGCAAGCTATACTTTATCTGAATAGATTACCCGCACCTTAAGAGGCAGATGGTTTCAGCCAGCACCCACCTTTTATTCCCCTGCTTCAAAAGACACAGTCTTTCAATCTGTTCACTTGAAAAAATGAACCTACTGCAGGCTCCTATGCTTCACTTTTCTACATTAGCATGTTTGATGGCAATGTAAAGTACTTCCTGTCTAGCTACAAAAATCTCATCTTCCAAATTAAACTTGGCTCTCTGGGAGACCTCATTAAGCCAAGGTTCAGCCTTGCCATATGAGTTGAAACAAAGCACATCAAGATTTCACTAGCCTGCGCATCCTTTGACGGTGCAACCCGTCTTCCATGTGTGTTCAGTCTTGTTCTAGGTCGCAGTCACCAGTTGTCATTCGGGGCCTGCTCTGAATGGACCTCCTGGTGCTTGCAGCTTGCTGGAGTGACAGAGGGAAAGCTGCACGTGTCCAGATGAATGCACTGCATGTCTGGTTGGAAACTCAGAAAGGTAACCTGCCTGTCCACAGTATCCCTCCTCAGCCTCCTGAAGGTCTTTGGACTCTTCCCTATGTGTACTATAGCATGGGCAGAAGCTTTGCAAAGCATCTGTGAGAAGCATATAGTTTCACATGTACCTGTTCTCTGGGAGGATGTTCTTTTTACTCTTTTCCTTCAGCCTGTAAGGCCTGTATCCAGATCACAGAAAATAATGAAGGAGTTTCATGTCTTTTGTTTAAATCCATTTAGGCTCTTCATTGAGTGACTGCCTGTGTTTGTTCAGTACAAGACCACTGAGGTACAATCAATTTCAGAGAAATATTTTTTTATATTATTCTTCTAAAAGCTACTTGTTATCTATTGAAAATAATTGTAGCCTTATCAGCTGAGCAATAAATGCAATTAAAGGTCTATTTCTGGACCTATTCATACCTAATTTGCTCCAAGTTTCCCCATCCTTTACCTAAAATAATTGGTCTCTAGCCATTCAAGGATTGGCCTACTTAAAAAAAGCCAGCAAACTGAATTTTTCTAGAGGAAAGTTTTCTACTACTGTTTAAAAATAGGTTTATCAATGATTTGCTAGATTGATAATTTATACATATATATTTAAAAGCCCAACAAAATATCAACATATTAAATGGCCTGAACTAACAACTTTGTGCAGAAACTTAGTGTAGAAACAATTGCCAGAGATTTTTGTTCACACAGATACTGTAACTGAGTTCAGAGCTGGGGAGATGTGGAGCTACTAGGGAAAGGTTAGAAGGTAAAACTACTTACCGTGGTATCTCCACCAAAACATGCATACAATGATGAATGGACAACATAAACCCATAGATGCTGAAGCATAAGTAATGTGAAATATCTTGTAGTTTCCAGATTCTTGAGACTCTTCTGAGATGGTGATGGTATCTGAAATTGCATTAGCATATATTAACACAGAGAAATATTTGACTGGGTTCCCTCCCCTCCCTCCACCCCCAAAGTATTAGGTCGTTCTGATGCAGCTGGCTTCTTAATACACTTAAACATTCTATAGCTTGGTATAGCATGTCATGAGATAATACCATCTTCATGGGTGTTCTATGGAGTATGAAGATACTGGAAGGAAAAGGACACAGGAAAGTGTGATTGATGGATAATGAGTGGCAACGGGCTCGCAGAAGCAAAGAAAGGGTCAGAATTAGAGCACTGCTTTAGTCTTCCAGTATATTTTTTTTTGCAATTGTTATTGTGAACAATAGCCAACTGTAGGTAATAGACATATTTCAGGTTATGTCAAAGTGATGGTATACTATGATTCCTAACGCTTTGTAAGTATAAGCCATATATCACTGGGATGTTAAAGAGCATGTCAGAAGCATGGAGTATACTATCAGGAGGTAATTTGATTGGCTTTGTCCCTTTTATGATGAATCCTGGACAGTCCTAGTCTTGAAAACTGTGAGCCTCGAGAGGCTATGTTTTGTTCATGTGGGAAGAAAGTAATTGTAGTTACCACATTGCAGCCATAAACTCTACTGCTGCTCCCTCTGTTGCAGTATTTTGTGAGATAATAAACAACATTTTAAATTCATTAACTTACCAGGAAAGGAGCTGGCAACCGAAGAACCTTACAACCCAGCCGCCTGCAGTCAGTAGGATGCTACAGCCTCACAGATCATTTTCTAGCTGCAGAACAACTTCGAAGAGGGCAGATATGACTTGGCATAGTCTAGACTTGGCATCAGAAGTGCTTAAGTTAATGTGAAGGCTTTACTTTCCCTTAAGATCATTTAAAGCTATTGTAATTTTTCCTGCTCCTGAACTTCTTGCGGTGCAAAATTATGCTTTTTTTTGTTGCACGAGAAATTATTCTCAACACGCTTGAATTGCTTTGTCCTCATTACTGTTGTGTGGCCCCATCAACTGCTACTACATGACCATTTGCATCCTGTCTAGTCTGTGATCTATAACCAGCCTGTCCTTCCACAATCTTTTTTTTTTCCCCCCAATTGATATTTTTTTTGCTATCAAACAGATAGCTGGTAGGTGTTGGCAGCTCTGATTTTCTCTTCCAGATTCTCCTGTTATTTCCTTGCTTTGTTCTTTCCTTTTGTTTCTATCCTAGTAAAAGGCAGGACAGAAACATGAAGAAGGTGGTAAGTACCAGCACAACAGTGCTACCAGTTACATGTGTTGAGAGAAGCCATCATCCATCATGCATGGACTTTCCTGTATGTGGCATCCTTTGTTTAAGTGGGCTCTTTCATAACATAGGGGCCTCACCTTCAACAATAACCTTTATCCCATGGCTCTCACTGGAAAAGTTGTCCCCTACTGCTTGACAGCGATGAAGTCCACTATCATGCTGATGAACTAAGGAAATCTCCAGAGTAAACACTTTGGACTTCCGTTCTGCTTTGCCCTCCTTCAGCTGCACACGTGTAGTCACCTCTAGCTTGCACCACTGCATGACTGGCTTTTTCTTGCAGTAAAGAAATGGACAGTCTATAATCAAAGAGTTCTCGACATTAATTTTGTACTTGGAGTGTCATTTACTTGAATTTCAACGGGACAATCAGAGACATCAAATCCTGGAAGAGAAGAAAACCAGAACAAAAATCATAGAATCATAGAATCCTTTAGGTTGGAAGGGACCTCCAAGATCATCAAGTCCAACCATGGAGCCATTAGGGCTCTAAAGTCCTCTGCTAAAACAGATCAGAATCTGTCAGGGTTGGAAGGGACCACAAGGATCACCCAGTTCCAACCCCTCTGCCAGGAGCAGGGACACCTCCCACTAGATCAGGCTGCCCAGAGCCTCATCCAGCCTGGCCTTAAAGACCCCCAGGGATGGGGCCTCAACCACCTCCCTGGGCAACCCATTCCCGGGTCTCACCACTCTCATGGTGAAGAACTTCTTCCTCATGTCCAGCCTGAATCTGCCCACTGCCAGCTTTGCCCCATTCCCCCTAGTTCTGTTGTTACTCGATAGCCTAAAAAGTCCCTCCCCAGCTTTCTTGTAGGCCCCCCTAAGATACTGGAAGGCCACAATAAGGTCACCTCGGAGCCTTCTCTTCTCCAGACTGAACAGCCCCAACTCTCTAAGTCTGTGCTCATAGGAGAGCTGCTCCAGCCCTCGGATCATTCTGGTGGCCCTTCTCTGGACACACTCCAGCAGGTCCACATCCCTCTTGTAATGGGGGCTCCAGAACTGGATGCAGTACTCCAGGTGGGGTCTCACCAGAGCAGAGTATATCATGCTGGTGAGGGTCTGGTATGTACTCCCCATAACAGCAATCACAGTTTCTTTTCTCTTTCATTACTCAAGACTTCCACTGCCTACTTGCAGCAGAGGTGATCAATATGTGGGACAGTGATAGCAGATAACATCAAGACTATTGGTTCTTTCAGTTTTAGGAGAACTGTTAAAATGCACCTTCTCCCTCTGATATGAATTTCCCCCTTTTTTTCTGTATCTCAGTCAAGTGAGAAACTTAATGCTTTAGAAAGGAAAACTGGCTTTGTATATTTTACGTATTGTCTGTGTTGACCTTCTCACAGACCTTTTCTGTTACTTTTAGATTTACTTCAGATTGTTTACATCACAAATCTTGTTAAATTTCAGAAGTAAAGGCTTTTCTTTTCTGTTTTTTTTTTTGTTTCTTTGTTTGGTTTTTTTTTGTTTTTTTAATAATTGTAATATTAAAAAGAATTCCATTTCATGCAGATATATCTTGTCTCTGTTTTTTATTGCCATTACGTTTTATATAAACTCAGTGTTCAAGCTATGATATGTCACCCTAACTCTGAGTCTTGGTATTGAATGTCCCAATTTTATTAATGATTCATGTTTCTTATTGTGTTTTATTTCTCTAGCTACGTCCAAGTTAAAAATCTATGTAATAACTATGTAATCCCTACTTCCCCATCCTGTATTACAGTACAGTGCTTGTGTGCTGAAGAGGGTGATTACTTGCAAGTCCAAAGAAAGAAATCTTACATGTATCTGTATCTTCTGGTTGCTAGGGAGGAGTAGAAAAAATAATAAAGTATGCTGAAGGCAAGTTGTGTAGAGGGGGAAAGAGCAGTGTGGGGAACAGACGGGTCTGTCTGTCAGCAGCTAGTGCTCTTCCAAGAGATGAAGCTGATGGGCAGCCAGTGCACATAACTGAGATACTGAGTGCTTCACCTCCACCATCAGCCAGGATTTCGTATGTATGTGATATATGTGATATAGCAATCCTTGTGAATACCTGGGTAATATATTGAAGAGCTTGGGAGAGCCAGATTAACAATTCTCATTTATGACCTCTAGTTTGCAGTCTTTTTCTTTTTTGGAGAGCACTCAGTAATATTGAGTTTTGAGCACAAGTGTGTTCATTTTGCTGATTTTGATTTTTTGTTTTGTTTTGTTTACTCTCTTTAAATAGACTTTGGGAATGGACATCTAAAAATTAGGTGGCACTCATCTGCCTCTAAACCTAGATCTTTCATACTGTTCTTGTTTTGCCCTATCAAATGTGCTTGATCTTTCTTGATAATAAGAGTTTATCCACTGTAAGGCTGTTATTTGCAGCCACTGCAAGAAATTGTGGCCTCTGATATCTCTGCCATGTGCCATAGAGAAACTCATGCTGCTCACAGGACTTGGCAATCCGGGAAGTTTATGCTTTAAAAGTCCAAATCTGAAATCATCCTTGTATACCAACCTTTCATTCATCAGTATGGCTTTAAATGAGGATTGAAGTGGGATGAGTGGAGTGCCAAAAGCACACAGATAAACAGCTTGCACAAGGACTTTAAAATTCATCCTTGCAGATGAGGCAAGTGGAAGAAATTCAGGTAATTTAGATGTATATGAGAAAATGGGCAAGGAGGACGATAGCTCTTGGTACAATGTCTTTTTATTAATTAAAAAAGTCTGGATAAAAACCCAGGGGAACTAGATGCTTTAATTCAATATCCCAAAAAGAAGGGAGAGCACCAGAATAAGAATAGATTGGTTTGGCAAAGAAAGCTTTAGTAAGTTTGGAGGCCTGGGAGATAAAAACTTATCAGATATAAATGGGAAAAGGACATAAACAGATCTGGTGGTCTATCCAATAAATAAAAGTACGAGAACTAAGCATCTGTATACAACAGTACAGTGGACGACAGTCTTGGCTAAATCATGAATCATAAACTTTTCACTGATACATGTAAGTCGCCAAAAGCATGAAGAAGGTAAGGTTTTTAAGGAGGCCCATAAAAGAACTGAGCAATGTTGGAAAAGTCATAGCAGCAAATAGGAAGTGTTTAGGAAAACACATTGAGTATAAGTATACTGATTGTAAAACTAAGAATATTTTAGTTTACTAGGTAGCGGAAAGGGAAAGCTATCAATAGATTACCAGCAGTAAATTAGATTTACCATGTGAATTAGATAAATTATTTGTAAAAAGTTTGGCTCAGTTCAGAAAGATATACAGAGGACATGTGATAATCTTTGCCTTCTGCTATGAACTGGTAAGTACACCTAGGTCTTGTCCAGTCTTTTGTTCTGCTCTTGAAGAAAGAAGGAGAGCTGTGCTTGGAGCCTCTCCAAGCTGGAAAGAAGCCAACAAATACCATGAACATGATAAGAATGCCATAAAGGAAAGCTGGAAATTTTTGCTGTTGTTTCACTTAAAGAAAAGCAATAAGAGGAAAGGACAAAATAATATCACGTAAAGACATAAAAGAAGGAGGAAATAACCTGGGTTCTTTTTTTCATAATTCCATTAGGTATGGGGAGAAATAATAGGCTAAAAGTGAAGTAAAGAAAGATTGATTACAGTTTGAAAAAGTTCCTAACTGTGAAAATGGTATTACTACAACATGTTTCTGTGGAAGATGGAGGAGTTTGCATTACTGGCAGCTCTGAGGACTAGCCTACACTAACATCTGAGAGGATAATGTAGCTGAATTTACCTTCTTGACCTGTCAGTGTATGTAGTCATGTAGACAAGTCCATGGACATCAGGTCCATAAATGAGTACTGAAAGGACCTGGGACAGACATATATTCTGACATCCCAAATACAACTCTTTGGTTGCTGGGCAGACAGGAGGGGAATAGACCACAGGAATTGATGGGGCTGATGTGCTGTCTCTGAACAGCCATATTGCTGCAGCCAGAGCCAGAGCACTGGTCTTGGGCAGTGTGGCATTTCTGACATGATATTCATTAATACACAAGATACACTTGTGATCCTCTTTCTGTGACAGCATTGCCTCAATAGTAGCTCCTGATTATGAATAAATATTTGGTATATGGGAGGAGATATTATCCCAGGGACATCTGGATATGGTAGTAATACATTTAATATACTTAATATAACATTTAACATATTGCATGATACTTAATGTGAAAAAAATTGTTAAATACACATTATATGTATTTCATTGCAACAGATATGATGTGGCAAATTATATTGCAATAACAACAACTCTAACATGTAGATCCTGGCCATATTCACAAGGTAGAATTTAGGTGGTAGGTCAGCATGGCCTGCCCAGGCATCTAGTCCCTTTTCTGCTCCCCTGAATAAGATAATTATGGAAAACAAATTTTAGTTCTGAAGCAGGTTTACCTATCTTTCACTTAGACTCTTCCGTCTGGTGTCCTTGCCCATGGCAAGGAGGCTGGAACTAGATAATCTTTAAGGTCCATTCCAATAAAAAACAATCTTTGATTCTATGATCTGTGATTAAAAGAAAGCATGATTTAGTTTCTGGCAAGTAGTTTCTATCTACTTTGGTCATACCACAGTAGAAGCATGTGGTTATCAATAGTCTGAAAATGGAAACTTAAAAGCCCAAATCAGGAAGTAGAGTTTTTAGTTATTTGATTAGTGATTGTCATGGAAGATAACACTTCAGGGAGTATCTATAAAGCTCAGATTGTACCCTGATAGCAACTTACTTTCTGAGATAACCCTACGTAATGGGTATTTCCAGAAGGCTGTGCAGGTCTCTGCAGATATTTTCTGATGTCCTTCATCTAATTATTTTATCTTATAGTTTTATGTTTTTCAGAAGTCTTTTTGAAAAAAATAAACCAAGAAACAAATCCCTAAAACAAACTCCAAAGCTTTTCTAGAAGGTCCAAAAGGTCCAATTTCTTGCGAGATTTTAAAACAGATTTCAATGACACTTGCTCGTTCTGCATCATTATTAACCAGAGAGAGGGACAGGAACTGTTGTACTCCTTCATTCTTTTTCTAATGCAGAGATGTCATATTTTGCTTAATTTTGAATAATCCGGTGCATTTACAACAAAGTATACATCACTGCCCACTGTCATTTTTGGAAAAATCACCTGAGCAGCACTGAGCACATTTTCTACATCCAACAGCATTCACGTGGGCCAGGGTTACTAATCCTCACGAATTCAGATGAACTTTAGTTTTGTAGGCAGTTGGAAAGAAAACTGTTTTATCAATGTTAAATACTGCTCTAAGAAACAATTGTCCTGCACTGGTCAGTGTAACCTAAGGTAACACTCGGTGGCAGAACCTCCCAGAGTGGGAGAACAGGAGTGATACTGGGTGTACAGAAAGTTTTGAATTCCC